CCAACAGCCCGGCCGCGCCTCTCTCCGAGGCCCCCCGAAAGAGCCGCGCCCATCTTCTTCTCTTTCCCCGCCGCCGTCGGGCATCGAACCGGGGCCCGCTCGAGCGCGGGAAACATTGCGTCGGTCGCATACGCGAGACGGCACTATTCCGGCATCGACCTCTGCTTGCAAGCGCCTCGAATGAGACGCGCGCGGACCCTTTCGCGAGCTCGAGGGCGGGGCGGGCGAGCGCGACCTGGATATGTCGCGGCCGCGCGCGCGAGCGCCGCCCGCGCCTGCAAGCGCAGCGGGCCTAGATTATCCGTCGACTCGCCCGCCTGCGCCTCGCCGCGGCGCCTGCCTTCCCGGCCGCGGGCTCGGCCACCTGCGTCGCGAGAAGTAACGGCGCGTTAAAGACTGCGTCGCATATGCCCGTCAGCTCGGCCGCGCTCGCGAGCGAGAGCCTCGTTCAAATGCTCGCGAACTGACGAATGACGCCCTCTTCTCCTTTTCCCGATGCAGCCTGCTGCGCCTGCTTCGCGCTCCGCCGCCCTTCTCTGATCCGCTTCGGGCCCCCCCCCCCGGCTCCCGCATCAGCCGCCGGCGCGAGCGCCCAAGCGGCGCGCCTGCCCGCGGCCGCCGCGGACGCGGGGCCAGAACGGGCAGGGCTGGGGGCAAGAATCAAGGTGAGTGCGCAAGTGCAGGCGCCGATGCGAACTGGGCATCTTGCAATCCTCCAAATGTTGAACATCCACGTCGCAGCACAAACCTCGTGCAGGAGAATCGCGCAGACTACGCTGGCATCTAGCTCTGGTAGAGAAGGACGTTAATCATGCGCAGCATTGGCTAGGCATGCTCAAAAAATACAGAGGGGGAGAGAGAGAGAGAAAGAGAGAGAGAGAGAATATATATATATATATATATATATATATGTCCACGTCGCGCGATGATACGTGCGAGCGCGGAGCGGCGGTCGCTGTGGACAGCCCGGCACGTTTGAACATCGCCACCGAATAATGCACCTTTGCTGCCCCTCCATCTCCTGCGCCCCCGAGATCGCTTGAAATATTGCGCGAACGGGTCTTCGACCTGGAGCGGGATCGCAGCCGCAACAACCCTACCCCAAGGTTGCCGAACGCCCATCTAGAGCAAGAGCCCCCTGGCCCCCTCAGACCCAAACAGATTCGGGAACCCTCAGCATTTCCATGGAATCACGCCCCTCATCCTGCGCCCCCAAGGGCCTCCACATCACCACGCATTCGGGCCCATGGGGTGCACATCGGAGCTAACATGGCCGCCTGGAGCGAAGACCTGTCGCGCCTCGGAATGCGCAATCAGCGCGGCAAGAACTCATCGGTGAAACTGAGGCCGTCGCACAAGTTCTTGCAGGCAACCAAGCCGGCGGATTCGAGCTCTAACTCGGGTTCAAGGACTCGCCAGTGGGCAAGGACAGCCATGTTCGACAGAGAGCTGGGATACCCAGGTGAAACGGGGCCGAATGTCTTGCCCGAGATCGCCCGCCCAGCGCGGGCAGCAACGGTGCTATTCAGACGCCGACGCTCCACGGCGGAAAGCGCGCGCAATTCAATGCCCGAGAGCCCCGCATTGCATATCTACCCGAAAACAAAACAGCGACGTTGCCCATGTGGAATTTCTCGTCGGGCTCAGAATTCCCCAGAATACTGGAAACCTGGCCGCGCAGCTCCACGCCCGGATTCCATCCCAGCCGAGCCCCGATGAGGACAAGAGCAAACTTGAAGGCCCAGGGACTTCCGGAAAAGCCGCAGCGCCTCGCGCGAGCCCCTTCCCGCCAGACACACTGACAAGTCCTGGTCGCAAAAAAAGCATGTATCCGCGTGCGTTGGGGAACGATCGTGATCGCCCTAGCTGCGCTTGCCCCTGTCAACGAGCTCGGCTATAACAGTAGACGTCCGTCCAAACAGCAAATGGGACAAATGGTCGGCCGACCTAGCGAGGGACAGGGTCGCGCGCGAGGGGCAGCAGTCATCAGCCCTCCACAACTTGGCCGAAGCGGTACCACAACGCCACGGCCCCGAACGCGGGCCCGCCACCCACTTGCATCTCTGCTCCCGAAAAATGCACCGAACCAGATCTGAACAAACATGGGATTGCTGCCCGCACCGGCTCCGACCTACTAGGTCCGAACGCATTCGCCAAGCCGCGCGCGACCGAAATGTTGGAGACGTCACTCTTCCACAGGTGACAGCCAACCACGCGCTGAACAAGCTGGGCTACTGCGCGCCAGCGATGCGGGACACAACCATGACCCTGGTCACGGAACTTCTCCGGGCCTCTCTTGCGCATGAGGCCCGCACCCGCCCCGTGCCCCATCGAGTCGCGGAGGGGGGCTCCATCGAAACGGGGCCCAGCCCGAACTCCCAGCCTGAACTCCCAACTGGAAAACGAGCTTCCGGAATTCTGGAATCCGACGGCCCTTCAAAGCAACGCCCAAACCACCGGCTCCCTTCTTGCAGCTGCGAGTAGAATGCAAGAACAGACACGTGAAATCCAGAGGTAGGGCCCACGAGAGGCCAGCCCTCCACCCGCCCGCCTCCAGGAGCGCGCGTTTGATCCTGCGAAGGTCCAGGACGGCAGCACGCCGATATCGAAGCGATGGAAGAGCTGGCCGAGGGGCGCGAGCAAGAGGCCAGTTCCTCCATCCATCCCAGTTGGGCACCCGTGCCGCACCCATCCCTCCATCAGCCTCCTCCTTTGCAAAACCCGAATCAATCTCATCAGCGCTAGGTGAGACGCCACGAAGTGCCTGGTTGTTTCGACGCTTCGGCCCGAAACAAATGCCACCCATTCGAAACTACAACCGGGTGGCCTCTGCAAGACGACGCTCCGACCAAGAGTTCATGAACTTCCCCCAGCTGCGTAGCCCTTCGAGCTCAAGTCTCACGTCGAAGACGCTGTACAATGGCGCTCGTGACGGCCAGCCGCGAAGCGGCAATTTCTGCTTCCCCGCCCTCCCCCTTCAACACCTGCAAGCTCGAGACGAAGCTCCCGGCGCCGACGAAGCAGCTCCATGCGCTCTGCCGCCAAGGGGGTGCATGGTTTGGCCCCTGCGGCCGCGCCAAAGAAACGCTCGCCTTCACGCATCAGAAGCTCGTTCAGATGGCCAAACGCCGGATCAGCAATCGGATGCGCCGGGTGCCGCTGTCGTAACTCGAAGTCCTGCTCGATGCGGGCCTCATTCATTTCCAGAAAAGCACGACGTCCGTGGCATCACCGAGCAGCAATCATCAAAACAAATCAGATCCCACTTGCCACGTTCGGGAACCAAAGCAACAACTTGCGGCGCCAGTACATACGGAAACGTTAAATGAACAAGAAAATGGTCAGCGACGGCTGGCCGCCGAATGTCCTGGAGTTCTCGACTTAGCCGATTCAAAGGCCCAGCACTGTGAGTACGTGGGACGAGGGCTGCAAGGGCAAACGCAACATCTATCCAGCTGCGCTCGCCCCGCGACCCGTAGCAGGCAAGACCGTACTCAAAACCACGAGGACGGCTGGCAACGTGCATACCATGAGTAGAAAACAACCGTGACCGCAAGGCACCCGCGTACATTCCGTTGTTCGCATGCGCCTCCTGGATCACATCAAACCATCAAATGCCCAAGCTCCGTTCAGTTGGACCAACTCCATGCCGTCGTTGGCGTCACCACGCAGGTGAGGAGTCGTACGCTGAGGGGGAGACGATAACCTCGGCCCAACCCAATCCAACATCGTATTTACAGTGCGACGATACTTGATCAATTTATGTGAGCGCGTATGCTTGGCAGGATCATAGACTGCTATCACAGCGAGGTCAAGCACATCAGGTCGCGATCTGCATAGCTGGCCTCTCCCGCTGATCCAAGGAGGCGTAAACCCCGAGAGACCAAGATGCGTACACCCCAGCTTGACCTTGCTTCCCAGCCTGACCTTGCTTCCCCACATAATAAAACAACAGCAGCGTTCGTAAATTCGCCTGGCGCCCAGCCTGTTTCGACCAAGACACGTCCCAGAACTTCACGCCGTCGGAATTGAGCGCCACTTGATGCCTTGGCGCGAAGGCCGATGAAAGAGACACAACAAACATTCCGTGCACGATCTGCTGTGTCGGTCAGGCGGTCCATCGAAGATGCTTGATAGACATTGCGCGACTGATTTGTAACGGGAGGGGGCGGGCGCCATCGATAACTGCGCGAGAGCCGCCGGAGGCGGCAGTATGGAGTCGAGTAGAAACGTGAGTGTGTGAGTCGGCCAGGGGCCAAAGCACCTGGGCAGCCCTCGCTGGAGGAGGAGGAGGCGGAGGAGGGAAAGAGGAGAAGGGAAGAGGGATGGAGGACGAGGGGGGAGGAGAAACTGATTAGAGGGATTCGGGGAAGGGAGGGGAAGAGGTAAGGAGGAGGGACACGGAGGACGGATCAGGAGCAAGGGGGGGGGAGCGATGCGGCATGAAAATGATAAGCAGGAGGGTGCAGGAAGAGGAAGAGGAGGCCACCGACGACAACGAAGAAGGAGGAACTGCACGTTCGACCATGCTCTTCGTGATTCCCGTCGCTCCTGGGCCGTCCTCGGCCGTGTTCGGCGGTTCGTTGGGCGGCTCTCGGCGGTCTTCGGCGGTCCTCTGACGGCCTTCGACAGGGTCCACCGGTCGTCGGCGCTTTCCTGCGGTCTTCGGCGCGAAAGCTGGATGGCAGCTGGTAGCACGAGGTCTATGATCGAACACCTAAGAGAAGGATTGGGGGGGAGGAGACGAATTTTGGGTGGGGATGAGGTGGGGTATCAGGAACGATAGCCATCGCTTCTACACATGCGTGCACATCCACACATACGTACCGTACCAACCACGTGGGGAGATCCGAACGGGATTTTCTGGCGATGAAGAATTCGGTGCACACATAACCCAGCACATGCCCAGACATACACGTATGTCGATAGAGTCCCCTCGCCCGATGCCAAACATGTCGCTCATGCCCAGCACAGGCTTGGCACATGCCGCATGCCCGCAGATGCCGAGGCAGCAACGACCGCACATCAGAAATGAGCCGCGTGTAGATGGGAGAAGCCAGGAAGACTCGGGGGCGGACTGGCAGGCATGCCCTCGCGGGCATCGCACAGGGAACTGGCGCTGCTGGCAGATCAGATTCACTCACACGCAAACGCACTTGTGTGTTGCACTCTGTCCTATGGAGATGGCTGTTCCCGCCATCCGAACTTTCCAGCGCTGCGCAATTCCGAAGGGCTGGAACCTGCCACTCTGCGCAGACTGCGCCTGGAGTGCTGAGCTGGGCAAGAATTCCAGATGCGCCCTACATGCCAGGGCAGGCTCGCGCCCGATTTGGGCGGCCTGGACCATGCCGGGGCCGGCACGCCAGCCCCGACTCTGAATTATTGCACCGGGGTGGCTCGAAATGGCCACCCCCTCCAGGGCACAGCGAAACTTGCGGCGGGCAGGCCGGGCTGCAGAGGCTGCCGGGCGAGCTCACAGCGACGACAGGCCGAGCAGAGGCAGGCCGTCGGACATGCGGAAGGGCGTGTGCAGGGTGTCTGCCTCTGGCAGCGGGGGCGTCTGCATCGCCCTGTGGGGGCTCTTCGAGGCCATCTGGAACTTGTGCTGGCTCCTCCACCCCGCCGAGCCTCTGGAGCCCTCGGCCGGCACCGCCACCTGCAGCACCTGCGCGTAGCCCGGGGGCAGCCAGTCGGTCGTCTGCGCGGCCCCGCGCGAGAACAGCAGGCAGCCGCTGGAAAGCGACAGCTCCACGCAGAGGTGGCCGCTCCCGCGGTTCTCCGCCAGCGCGACGAGCGACCCGCCCTCAGACTTCCCCATGCATCGAGGAACAAAGAACGGTATGAGCACAAACGCTTGGATGTCCGCGCTGACTTCTTGGATCGGCGCTGGATCACCTTCCTGGCGCGCTCCGCGCGCCAGGGCTGGCGCCAGGGGGCTCCAGCGCCGATCCGAGAAGCCCGCGCGGACTTCCGAAAGTTCCGGCTTTGGCTCAGGTCGCTGTCTCTTCCCCGAACTGTACAGCGTCGCGCCCCGGAAGGACTCGCCCCTGCTGCAGACGCTGCGGGCGTAGGCGGCCCACGCGACCCTCACCTGAGGGGCAACGCTAAGGGGGGGGACTGGCACAGGGGGGGATGCGTCGACCTGGAATCGGCGACACATCGCCGACAGATCGGCGACAGGCCCCCGATCGTGAAGCCGCACCTTCCTGGGAGGGTTGGGGGGCTATCAGACCCCCCATCGGCGATCCATGGGCGATTCGGGGTCGATGCATCCCCCCCCCCCTGTGCCCATCCCCCCCCCTGCCGCTGCCCCCTGTGCCCATCCCCCCCCCCTGTGCCTACCCCCCCTATCCCCCCTCCCCTCATCCCCGCCCCTGTGCCTACCCCCCCCCCCTGTGCCTATCCCCCCTGTGCCTATCCGCCCCCCCCCTGTCGCTGCCCCTCCCCCTGCCGCTGCCCCCGATCGCCTGCCCGAGGCTCAGCTCCGCCTCCCGCAGCTCCACGGGCCGGCTGCTGAACGCGGCGAGGGCCGCGGGCACGGCTGGGCCCCAGGGCAGGCTCAGCGGCACCACCGTGTACGAGCTGCCCGGGGCCAGCCAGCAGTCCGCCGACACGGCGGACACGCTGCGCATGGACGCCACGGCCTGCACCGCGGCGGGGAGGCCGCACTCGAGGCCGCCCCCGGGCCCGTTCTGCAGCACCACGAAGCCGAGGCAGGCCTCCTCCTTCGGCAGGCCCGGGAAGAGCGGGCCCTGCCTGGCGCGCTCCTCGGGCTGCGAGAGGCTCAGCGAGCACTCCGCCGCGGAGGCCGAGGTGTCCAGCCGCGCCCCGAGCCGCGGGGGCCTCCCCGCGGGCAGCTCGACCGCCATGCGGTCCTGGTGCCAGCTGTCGCCCGCCCTGATCTGGCAGATCGTGCAGTGGGCGAACTGCCGGAGGAAGTCCCCGAGCGCCATGAAGAATACCATCTTCTCGCTCCCGACGGGGTATTCCAGCTGCTCTCGCAGCGACGGGGTCCAATTCGGGCACTCGCTGGACCATGCGCCGGTCCACTTGATTTTCTCCCTCTCCTGCTGGTTTCGGATCTTCACGAGCCGTGTGTAGCCGCCGTCGTGCGTGGGCACCTCGAAGACGCTCAAGAGCAGGTAGACATGGAACGGCTCCAGGTGCGCTGCCTCGTTCTTGGTCTCGCAGGTCGAGCAGGTCATGAGGAAGCCCGCGTCACGAGAGGAGCACAGGGTGGCCCAGAAGGTGTCCACCTCGAAATCGGGGCTGCAGAAGCGCGTCATCCTGCACGGCCAGCCCGTGAGCACGGACAGCGCCTCGCCCGCCTCCCCGCCCACGATCCGCTCGTAGGAGCCGCAGGCCTTGGCATAGGCCTTCTCGATGACGGAGGCCCAGATCTGCAGGCGGTGGGTCACGCAGCAGGCCAGCTGCACGTAGAACCTGCCGCCGCCGATGCAGGGGAGGCGGTCATCGACCACGACGTTCCGCCAGCGGCCCCCGATGCAGAGCCTCACGAGGTAGGCGCCTGCCTCGCTGATCACAGACTGCGAGGGCAGCAACGCGCGCACGTGACGGCCGTCCTCGTACTCGGCCAGGGCGCCCAGCGAGGACAGGAACCAGCAGTCCCCCAGCTCGCCCTGCTGCACGTCCAACGCGCGGGGCTTGTCGCGGAACAGCCTCCAGTCCACGTCGGGCTGCGGCGTGAAGAGCCACGCCAGGAGGTCGTGCTCCACCAGAGCCCGGTCGTCGTGGCGGGTGATGTCGTGCGTCCGCCCCCAGAAGCACACGGTGTGCTTGCCGTCCAGCTGCACGGGCGCCTCCGGGAACTCCGCGTCGACGAAGGTGGACCAGGCGCCCTGGAACTGGGCGTTCAGTGCGCGCAGGCGGGCGAGCCCCGCCTCCAGGCTGTCGCCCACCACGGGCCCGGGCCTCCTCGGGCCACCGGGGCCCGCGGAGGGCGCCTCCGGGGGCTGCGGGGCCGCGGGCTCGGCGGGCTCGGCGAGCCTGCTCGGGTGGGCGCCGGGGCGAGGCCTCGGCACCCGCAGGAGCGCCTCGCGCAGGTCCTCCACCGCCACGTGCCTGTCGCCCTTGAGGGGCAGGGCCGCGCCGGACGCCGCAGTGTTGTCGAACACCATCGTCGTGGCCGCTCGCTGACTGCCAGACGAGGTCCACACCTCCTCGGGCTCCGCCGTCGGCTTCTGCCTCCTGCGGTGCGGCCCCGCCAAGGAGGCGCCGTGCTCCGACCAGGACGCGCCGCCCTCCCAGCAGCTGAGCATGCTGATGCTTCGAGGGACAAATCATGGCATACAGTCGGGAACGTTTGCTTAGCCTGTCGCCGCGGCGGCCCTGGCGACACGCTATGCCCTGCAAGCGGGTGGCGTGTCGCTCCGCCTGGGGACCGCACAGGGAGCGTCGCGCCGAAGCGTGGGCCAGAACCGGCAGAGGGACACGCTATCCAAAAATTCCCAATCATGAACATCAACTGTCATAGGTCCTCGAGGCTTTCTCAAATCGGCGCTGGAGCCCCATGGCGGGCGCCTCTGGCGCCGCCCCTGGCGCGCTCCGCGCGCCAAGAGCCAGCGCCGATCCGAGAAACCCGCGCGGACTTCCGAGCGTTGCAGTTTCTGCAACTCTTCCTCCCTCGAGATGCTGTGGTCCACATCGTCGGCCCACTGCCTCACCGCCTGCCCCGCGCTGGCCAGCAGCTCCAACGCCGGCGCCATGGCCCGCGGCCGCCTGCGCGCGCGCCGGCCGAGCACCCAGCGCCGCTGCGGCGGGCGCGGAGGCGCCGCCTGAGGCCGCCAGGGCCAAAGTGGCTGCGGGAGAGGCGGAGGAGGGATGGGGCGATGGGGTGCGCGGCCCTCGCCACTCTGACGATTGTCCAAAGAGGCCTGCTCCTCTCACTCTCTCTTCCCTCCCCTCCTCCCGCTTCCCTCCTCCTCCTCCTCCTCCTCCTCGTCCTCCTCCTCCTACTCCTCCTCCTCCTCCTTCTTCTCCTCCTCCTCCTCCGCCACCGCCACCTCCACCTCCACCTCCACCTCCATCTCCTCCTCCTCCTCATTTTGCTGACCCTTAACCTCGTCCTCCTAATTACTCCTGCTTCTCCTCCACTGTCATTGTCTCTTGCAGCCCGCTGCGCACAGAGTCGGCGGCACCGGGTGTAAGGCCTTCGCAATACAAGAGAAAGGCGCACATGCATCGTACCGTGCTTGGACTCCCTTCAGGCCCCTCTCGAACTGGTACCCATTTCGGGTATCCAAGCACGCCAAACCTTCCTCTCTCCCAACCTTCCGTGGGTTCCCGGAGGGCCTCTCCGGAACAATTCACATGGTACGGTGAATGGCTCATCGGCTCTGAGAGCTGAATAATAACGATGCACCGCACCATTCCGGGGACCAGGATCGACGACGCCTCGGGAAATGCCAACCTGGTACGGTGCACACAAGTCGTCCGCGGAAAATACATGGACGAGTACAGAAACCACGCGCAGACGGGAGGCCCGGGCCGGCGGGACGAGGCGGGCCGGCGGGCGGCCAGGAAGGGACAGAGGGAAGACAGCAAGCGGGGAGCAGGAGAGAAGGAACGGGAGCAGCAGAGGAGGAGGAGGAGGAGGAAGAGGAGGAGGAG